CTGTAATATATTTTCAAAATTTCAAAGAGGATCATTTCTGAAAGTTTTCTAGCCTTGACTTTTCTAGTATTGTGGGGACTATTCTTGCTGCCTTGAATTTACTAGTATTGTGGGGACTATTCTTGCTGCCTTGACTTTTCTAGTATTGTGGGGACTATTCTTGCTGCATTGAATTTACTAGTATTGTGGGGACTATTCTTGCTGCCTTGACTTTTCTAGTATTGTGGGGACAATTCTTGCTGCCTTGAATTTTCTAGTATTGGTGGGACTATTCTTGCTGCATTGAATTTACTAGTATTGTGGGGACTATTCTTGCTGCCTTGACTTTTCTAGTATTGTGGGGACTATTCTTGCTGCATTGAATTTACTAGTATTGTGGGGACTATTCTTGCTGCATTGAATTTACTAGTATTGTGGGGACTATTCTTGCTGCCTTGACTTTTCTAGTATGGTTCTTGTCTTTACTTTTCTAGGACTGAGGGACTGTTCCTCCTTTAGTAGGTTCTGTCCAAAACTTAACTTTTTTAGGACTGTAGAAGGTTTTTCCAACCTTCACTTTTCTAGGACTGTAGTAGGCTTGTTTCAGCCTTCACTTTTCTAGGACTGTTGTAGTCTTGTTTCAGCCATCACTTTTCTAGGACTGTAGTAGTCTTGTTTCAGCCTTCACTTTTCTAGGACTGTAGTAGTCTTGTTTCAGCCTTCATTTTTCTAGGACTGTAGTAGGCTTGTTTCAGCCTTCACTTTTCTTTTCTAGGACTGTAGTAGGCTTGGTTTCAGCCTTCACTTTTCTAGGACTGTGGTAGGCTTGTTTCAACCTTCACTTTTCTAGGATTGTAGTAGGCTTGTTTCAACCTTCACTTTTCTAGGACTATAGTAGGCCTGTTCCAACCTTTACTTTTCTAGGACTGTAGAAGGCTTGTTCCAACTTTCACTTTCTAGGACTATAGTAGACTTGTTTCAGCCTTCACTTTTCTAGGAATGTAGTAGGCTTGTTCCAACCTTTACTTTTCTAGGACTGTAGTAGGCTTGTTCCAACTTTCACTTTCTAGGACTATAGTAGACTTGTTTCAACCTTCACTTTTCTAGGACTATAGTAGGCCTGTTCCAACCTTTACTTTTCTAGGACTGTAGAAGGCTTGTTCCAACTTTCACTTTCTAGGACTATAGTAGACTTGTTTCAGCCTTCACTTTTCTAGGAATGTAGTAGGCTTGTTCCAACCTTTACTTTTCTAGGACTGTAGTAGACTTGTTTCAGCCTTCACTTTTCTAGGACTGTAGTAGACTTGTTTCAGCCTTCACTTTTCTAGGACTGTAGTAGGCTTGTTCGAACCTTCACTTTTCCAGGACTGTAGTAGACTTTTTCTAGCCTTCACTATTCTAGGACTGTAGTAGGCTTGTTTCAGCCTTCACTTTTCTAGGACTGTAGGAGGCTTGTTTCAGCCTTCACTTTTCTAGGACTGTAGTAGACTTGTTTCAGCCTTCACTTTTCTAGGACTGTAGTAGTCTTGTTTCAGCCTTCACTTTTCTAGGACTGTAGTAGGCTTGTTTCAGCCTTCACTTTTCTAGGACTGTAGTAGGCTTGTTTCAACCTTCACTTTTCTAGGACTATAGTAGGCTTGTTCCAACCTTTACTTTTCTAGGACTGTAGAAGGCTTGTTCCAACTTTCACTTTCTAGGACTATAGTAGGCTTGTTTCAGCCTTCACTTTTCTAGGACTGTAGTAGGCTTGTTCCAACCTTTACTTTTCTAGGACTGTAGTAGGCTTGTTCCAACTTTCACTTTTCTAGGACTAAAGTAGGCTTGTTTCAGCCTTCACTTTTCTAGGACTGTAGGAGACTTGTTTCAGCCTTCACTTTTCTAGGACTGTAGTAGACTTGTTTCAGCCTTCACTTTTCTAGGACTGTAGTAGGCTAGTTTCAGCCTTCACTTTTCTTCTCTAGGACTATAGTAGGCTTGTTTCAGCCTTCACTTTTCTAGGACTGTAGTAGGCTTGTTTCAGCCTTCACTTTTCTAGGACTGTAGTAGACTTGTTTCAGCCTTCACTTTTCTAGGACTGTAGTAGGCTTGTTTCAGCCTTCACTTTTCTTTTCTAGGACTGTAGTAGGCTTGTTTCAGCCTTCACTTTTCTAGGACTGTAGTAGGCTTGTTTCAGCCTTCACTTTTCTAGGACTGTAGTAGACTTGTTTCAGCCTTCACTTTTCTAGGACTGTAGTAGGCTTGTTTCAACCTTCACTTTTCTAGGACTGTAGTAGGCTTGTTCCAACTTTCACTTTTCTAGGACTGTAGTAGGCTTGTTTCAGCCTTCACTTTTCTAGGACTGTAGTAGTCTTGTTTCAGCCTTCACTTTTCTAGGACTATAGTAGACTTGTTTCAGCCTTCACTTTTCTAGGACTGTAGGAGGCTTGTTTCAGCCTTCACTTTTCTAGGACTGTAGTAGTCTTGTTTCAGCCTTCACTTTTCAAGGACTGTAGTAGGCTTGTTTCAGCCTTCACTTTTCTTTTCTAGGACTGTAGTAGGCTTGTTTCAGCCTTCACTTTTCTAGGACTGTAGTAGGCTTGTTTCAGCCTTCACTTTTCTAGTACTGTAGTAGTCTTGTTTCAGCCTTCACTTTTCTAGGACTATAGTAGACTTGTTTCAGCCTTCACTTTTCTAGGACTGTAGTAAGCTTGTTTCAGCCTTCACTTTTCTAGGACTGTAGGAGGCTTGTTTCAGCCTTCACTTTTCTAGGACTGTAGTAGTCTTGTTTCAGCCTTCACTTTTCTAGGACTGTAGTAGGCTTGTTCCAACCTTTACTTTTCTAGGACTGTAGTAGACTTGTTTCAACCTTCACTTTTCTAGGACTGTAGTAGGCTTGTTCGAACCTTCACTTTTCCAGGACTGTAGTAGACTTTTTCTAGCCTTCACTTTTCTAGGACTGTAGTAGTCTTGTTTCAGCCTTCACTATTCTAGGACTGTAGTAGGCTTGTTTCAGCCTTCACTTTTCTAGGACTGTAGTAGGCTTGTTTCAGCCTTCACTTTTCTAGGACTGTAGTAGGCTTGTTCGAACCTTCACTTTTCTAGGATTGTAGTAGGCTTGTTCGAACCTTCACTTTTCTAGGACTGTAGTAGGCTTGTTCCAACCTTCACATTTCTAGGACTGTAGTAGGCTTGTTTCAGCCTTCGTTTTTCTAGGACTGTAATAGGCTTGTTTCAGCATTCACTTTTCTAGGACTGTAGTAGACTTGTTTCAGCCTTCACTTTTCTGGGACTGTAGGAAGGCTTGTTTAAGCCTTCACCTTTCTGAGACTATCACTGTTGGGCCTGTGACAGCCTTCAGTTGTCTAGTTCTGTAGGGGTTGTTGGAATCTTCACTTTTCTAGAGCTGTGGTGGGCTGTTTCAGCCTTCACTTTCCTAGGAATGTAGGAGCTTTTCTAGCCTTCATGGTTCTAGTGCTGTAGGGGTAATTCTAGCGTTTTCTTTCTCAGGACTGTAGTGGCTTCTAGCTTCCACTTTCCAAGAGCTTTGGGGACTGGCTTTCTCCAGGTGTCATAGCTGACACATTCAATATTAACTTTTTCTTTTTGCCCTAGCTGTCAGCTACCAGACAACAAATAAATGAACTGTCAACTGATCTCTAGAACTTCTTTATTTGATTGTGTGTTTCTGAAGCACTTTCTATTGGATTGGCTATCTCTGTACATTTCATTTTTCACTGATTGCAATATCCTACTTGTCTGTTAGGAACATGATATAAACAGGAACATTATATCAACAAGAGCATGATATTAACAGGAATGTGATATTAACTGGAGTGTGAGGTTCATGGATAAAGTGACCTGTTTTCGAAAAGTATAATTATGACAATTGTTAAAACAGTTACAAAATAAACACTGAGCTTTGACTAATTCCTACCAAGGTTTGTCCAAAACCTTGAAACATCAGAACCTAACTAGCGTTTTGCTTTGGCCTAATGAACAATGCAATTTGAGAAGAAAGAGGTTTTTGCTGAAGGGATAATATTGCCACATAATGGTATGTGCTAAATTTAATTTAACTGCAGATGTTGATGTTTCTTTAATGGAACTACAGCACCTTCTCATCCAAATCACCAGAGGAGATAGGAGTAAATGTATAGGCTGCATTGACCATGGCTTTGTAGATGGTCAGTACAGTATTACAGACTGTGCTCACTAGATCTTTATGAACAGTCTTTGACCATTAAGTGACCGATGTGTTACACCTCTAATGTGTATTATTTGTCCAATAGACTCTTGCAGATAATCAATATTAGGGATCATTTCCACATTTTCCTGTTTTTTATTTGTGAATTTAACAATGAACTGCTAGTAAACACTGAATCAAGAATTATGTATAATTTGGGGGTGGATATTATAGCTGGCCTGGTCATTAATTGGTCATTACTTGGTCAGTGTTGGCCACACACAAGGTTCAGTAGCCTTGAGATATAGATTGTTGTCTACCAGCTATATTTAGTTTGTGTAACATATCACTGTCTAGCTTTCTAGCATTTTTATCAAAATTGTTACAAAAATTAAGAATTTAAGTACAGTGCTGAATGATTTTTATACATTGTCTGTATTTGTTTCTGACAGCTTTAATCCCCCTCCTTACTGTATATTTATTTTTCTATCAATATGTAGTTAGTAAAATCATACTCAGAACAAATCATTTATGTTATAATGTTAAATCAGAATGTTTTCTTTTCATTTGATGTCAGATGTCCTTTTATCTATATTTATCAAAGCATTACCATATTCCTTCTTGATTTTATTAAATTATTGGTTATTATGTAAACAAATATTTAGAAATAAGTACTCACTTATTTTTTTTCATATTGGCATTTTGATCTGGTACTCATGCATTGTATGGTAGTTGCCTTGTATGTTTGATCTTTTTGAAGTACTTTTAAATATTACTATAAGTGCATTTTATTGATAGTCAGTGAGTATCATTGCAGCTCTAGTTGACATAACTGAGACTACTTCTTTTTTGACCACAGTGAAACAATGCGGCTTGACACAGGGCTGATTGTAGAAGTGTGGAACAAAGGCATGCTGTGGGATAAACTGTTAGGCCTGCACTGGTTACCCCTCCGCAAGATCCACCATTCAAATACGGTAGGTGTATACCCCACTGCAAGATCTACATTTGAATACTGTAAGTGTATATAACCCAACATCCAGCACTCAGATATGTAAATATAGAAATATTTACCACACGGATACAATAAGCAGATACCTCACTACCATACTAAACCCAATAGTCTTTGAACTGATTTTTTTTCTCATTGGAAAGTTTTGAACACTACTGAATATATTTGCCTAGAAATCCTTCATATACTATGGTGACATCTGCAATTCTATCATTTTTATTTTTGGAAAAAATATTTGTTGAAATGATTGCCTTATTTTTGAGAATTTGTAACAGATGCATCCAAGCTTTTCTCAAAACCATTGATGAATAAGTAGAATTGACAGTTTTTTATTTCTTTATTTATTTATAAATCAAATTTTACCTATTGCTACCATGCTGTTAAAACAAAAAAACAAAAAAAAAAAACAGAAAATTTGCACAAAAAACTCACTTAACAATTTTGTATTGCTATTTATCAATAAAGAATATCTTGCTGATAATGTTATTGGACATTAATGTTAATCTAATGTATAAAGTACTATTGTTTGGAAGAGAACAACATTTTTTTGGTATTGTATGGAAAATTATGAACTTGTATGGATTATCTCCCTTGAACCACTTACCATGTATAATCTATCTCAATAATGACAAACAAAGCAAACTTTCTACTTCTGGATCTTCTGCTACAGCTCCCCTATTGCTTCATAGGTTTTTTGATCTAATTTATTTTTAATTCTCAAAATATTATTCATATTTACATAGCATCATATCATTACATTCTCCTATTTCACAGCTCCATGTTTGATGGTGCAACATAGAGTTTGATGGTAATGAAGCATCGAGCGGATGATTTAAAACACTGGGGAATCATAATTCTGTGATCCATACATGTATTGCACTGATCATTAGAAATTGGATCAAATATGCAAATATATTCTCGACTGGAGTGTTATTTTGACACAGTTTGATAGTCAAGGATTTAAATGCTAACAAAATTAGAATTTTGTACCAAAGTTATTATATAATGTAGATCTTTATATCTTGAGTTCCTTTGTTCTTAAACCCGACTCAGTCCCCTGTCATTTACCCGACTCCTTTATCACTCAACCCCCATGCATTACAATCCTTACCTCACTCTATCTCTCATCTTCAATATTTATCCTTTTCCCCACCAAATTTCCCATCCTTCACTCTACCCACTGCCACACAATCATTCCACTATATCCTCTATCCTCACTATCCTCATCCCAACTCATCTCCTACTATCTTCATTTTCCATTCAATCATTTAGCCCTCAGTGTCTACACCCTCACCATCCCCACACTCTTTCTCCCCATCCCACAATGCTATCACAATTCCCACCCCAACTCTATGCCTTACTATTTCCACCTAACTCAATCCCTCACTATTCCCACCCTACTGAATCCCATCTTTGTTACAGGTACTGCCAATCCTACATTATCCTCCACATTCACCTCATGTATCCCCTATCTCCTATTTTCCACTCACTATTCTCATCTTTATTCCTATCTTCAGGTTCCCCTGACCTTTACTATACTCCTTTGTCAAATGTCCCTATATCCCCCACCAATGTATTCCCTCCACCTCTTGTTTCCCCACACTATTCCTCACCTTTCACTCATCTGTCCCTAGCTCTCCATGTATCCCCTGTCGTCTGTATCCTCCATCTCCTGTATACCTTGATCCCACCCTACCCCCTACATATCCCCCACCCACTATCCCTAGCCCCTGTGTTTCCCATGACCTTTTTCCACCACCCAGGTATCTCCCCACACCCTGTATCTCCCCACCCCCTGTATCTCCCCACCACCTACATCCCCCAACCACTATCCCTAGTCCCTGTGTTTCCCATGACCTTTTTCCACAACCCAGGTATCTCCCCACACCCTGTATCTCTCCACCCTCTGTATCTCCCCACCACCTACATCCCCCACCAACTATCCCTAGCCCCTGGGTTTCCCACGACCTTTTTCCACCACCCAGGTATCTCCCCACACACTGTATCTCCCCACCCCCAAGTATCTCCCCACCACCTACATCCCCCACCCACTATCCCTAGCCCTTGTGTTTCCCACGACTTTTTTCCACCACCCAGGTATCTCCCCACACCCAGGTATCTCCCCACTCCCTGTATCTCCCTACCCCCTGTATCTCCCCACCCCCTGTATCTCCCCACCACCTACATCCCTCATCCACTATCCCTAGCCCCTGTGTTTCCCACGACCTTTTTCCACCACCCAGGTATCTCCCCACCCCCTGTATCTCCCCACTGCCTACATCCCCCACCCACTATCCCTAGCCCTTCCCACGACTTTTTTCCAACAACCCAGGGATCTCCTCACTCCTGTATCTGCTCACCCCTTACATCCTCCACCCACTGTATCCTTCACCCCATGTATCCCCTCCTCCTCCTCCCACACATACCTCAGTTCTCCACAAATACTTTTCAGTCTTCTCTATAATGCTCCTCTCTCTTACACCTGTTATGACCACTAGATATAATGGAAACATTTCTCATTATGACAAGCTTATCAAATCAGTAGGAGATCATCTTGTAGGGGACAGTTGATTTATGTCCTCCAGGAGGACCTGGCTGAAAAGAGTGGTATCAAGCAAAAATAGCAGGGATAGGCCATAGAATTCTCAAGGTGTGATATTAGTTTGTCAGCTGAGTGATTACCACTGGATATAGATGTGGAATAGCTGTAACAGACTATATATTAATGATACATCCTAATGGTCTCTTAATAACCAAAATCATACACTGACCAGAAATAAAATTGGTGGTAAAGACATTGTGGTGGGTGGACAATGGAGCTAGGTTAGGGACAGAATGACTGGTTGATACAAGTTAATAGGGCATTGGTTTGGTCAATGAGGAATGACTTGTCCCTATACCAGACTCATTATGAAAAGGATATTAAGATATTGGTCTCTGAAGAAAGCTTTGTGGTTTATGTAAAGGAAAGTTAATGTGTTGGGTTGTGTCCATATTGATATAGAGATTCCATCAGACTGTTATATAAGTGTAGATGTAATCACAAGTACCATATTAGGAAATGCACTTGAATTGCAAAAAAAATCATGGAATTATTATAAGAGACATTTAATGTTTGTGATTCAAGGATCTCGAGAACTTTTTTTTTCAAAATTGTACAGGAATGTAGAAACTTTTGTTTTCTTTGGTGTTCATGCGTCTTGTGTAAGAAATCAATCTGTCTGGAACTGAAGTGCAGATTGGGTTAGTGATTCCTCAGCTGTTTATTCCTTGGTGTTGAAATAATATGACTCTTATTTACAAAATCATATTTAAAGGAAATTTTGTATTGTTGACAAGATAGAGTGATTGGCAAGACTTTTTAAATAAACAATGTGGATTTCCTACTTTAATGGTGCCAGAAGAATTGTTTTGATGGGAAATTTGTGAGCTTTTAAAAGCATTATTGCTGGATTAGTCCAAGCAAAATCTGTTTGACTGGCAGTCGAGTAAATTTGATATTTTCGGGTAAGTGACGCAGAACTGATTTTCATTCGTCTTGTAGCAAATTTGTTTTGATCTGTCGCAGTAATGTTGATGTGACGGATCAGGTAAACAGTAGGAGATTGTTACCGTGACATGAACTATGTTTATTGACATTTCAATTCTGTAATTCAATCCTGGAGGATTGCTGCTTGGGATGACAAATAGATGGCATCAGGTGCAGTGTTAAGAGGTTTAAAATGTAGGTTTATTAACAACTGACAATGGAGGCATAGGCGTGGAATACAATGTTTTATTTGATACATTTCTGTCCCCATTGCTCAGTACCATACATCAGTATCTTTCTCATTACCTGTACAATATTATGAATAGACCACCCTGTTAATACATTATTGTACAACCTGCATTGAAAGACTATTCCTTTTGCTAATAGGAAATCATTGAGAGACAAAATTTACTCACAAAGTTTTCTGTAACTGTAGCAGGCTATGCCTGAAAAGACCACCCATTACATGGCCAACCTTCCTTAATTGAGAAATACCCTTCTGTCAGTAAAGTGGAACTTTGTTTTAGAGATCCTACTATGAGTATAGTCAAACCTTGCTTAAGTTTTCCCTCCTTCAATGAGTATGGACAAATTTACTGGTTGATTGTTGCTCAAGTGATTCCCCCTTCTCTAATTATGGTTGATCCTTGCTCAAATGATTCCCCTTTCTCTAATTATGGTTGATCCTTGCTCAAGTGATTCCCCCTTTTCTAATTATGGTTGATCCTTGCTCAAATGATTCCCCTTTCTCTAATTATGGTTGATCCTTGCTCAAGTGATTCCCCCTTTTCTAATTATGGTTGATCCTTGCTCAAGTGATTCCACCTTCTGTAATTATGGTTGATCCTTGCTCAAGTGATTCCCCCTTTTCTAATTATGGTTGATCCTTGCTCAAGTGATTCCCCCTTTTCTAATTATAGTTGATCCTTGCTCAAGTGATTCCCCCTTTTCTAATTATGGTTGATCCTTGCTCAAGTGATTCCACCTTCTGTAATTATGGTTGATCCTTGCTAGTGATTCCCCCTTTTTAATTATGGTTGATCCTTGCTCAAGTGATTCCCCCTTTTCTAATTATAGTTGATCCTTGCTCAAGTGATTCCCCCTTTTCTAATTATGGTTGATCCTTGCTCAAGTGATTCCACCTTCTGTAATTATGGTTGATCCTTGCTCAAGTGATTCCCCCTTTTCTAATTATGGTTGATCCTTGCTCAAGTGATTCCCCCTTTTCTAATTATGGTTGATCCTTGCTCAAGTGATTCCCCCTTTTCTAATTATGGTTGATCCTTGCTCAAGTGATTCCCCCTTTTCTAATTATGGTTGATCCTTGCTCAAGTGATTCCCCCTTTTCTAATTATGGTTGATCCTTGCTCAAGTGATTCCCCCTTTTCTAATTATGGTTGATCCTTGCTCAAGTGATTCCCCCTCCTCTAATTATGGTTGAACCTTGCTTGAGTGATTGAGTGATTCCCCCTTCTACAAGTATGGTCAAACTTTGGTTTGGTGAACTTCATTCTATGAGTATGGCTGAACCTTGCTTGAGAGATCACCTCCATCAGAGTATTTTCAAACATTGCGTGAGAGATTCTAACTTCTATGAGTATAGTCAAACCTTGCTTAAGAGAATTCCCCTTTTCTCAGTAAAGTGTGTTGATCATTGCTAATGATTTTTATACACTGCTACTGACTAGGACTACTTTTTTTTTTTAATTCATTAGATATTTTGTCTGTTCCAGGAAGGAGATGGGTCGTGGCTGTCCATGTACAGTGAACTTATACTACAGAATGGAGAAGTTGCTGGAACAAGGATCAAAACTGGTCACGAAATTCTCATCGATGCCAGATTTGAGCTGCCCTATGGTTAGTCGTGTGTTGAGATTTTAATTTGATTTTGTGGAGATGAAGATGGAATGGGGAGGCCATTTATCTCTCCAATACGTATTTTCACTTATTGTTAGTCCCTAGTAAGGTCACCAGACCATATAAGAAATGATGACTTATAGTGTTGTTTATCCCTTGTCATGTGTCCTGCTTAAATTTTTTTCATGAACACAATAACTTCAGTAAAAATAAACCAATTAAACTGCTTCTGAAGTCATATGTCCATAAGATCTTGATTCATCAAAATTGACAAAGTTGTAGTCCTAGTAAATATGAGTAGATTTAGATGAAACTTGGTCATATGTCAGTAAGATCTTGGATGAGTTTGACAATACTTATTGGATTGTGATTTATAGAGTTATGGCCCTTTATAGTGAATTAACTTTGGACCTTGTGAACAGGATAACTTATGTACATATGAACAGCCTTATATTAGAAATATCTGATGTTTGTAATTTGAAGAGTTATGGTCCTTCACTGTTTTATTATCTGTGAATATGTTAACTTCACTAAATATGAACAGAATTTGATGAAACTTGGTATGTTGTTTTGGTCTCCAAACATTTTCAGAGGAATTTATAACCACCACCTTGTCAGTCTGTCTGTCCGTTCCTTCGTCTGTCTGTTGTTCTGTCTGTCATTTCGTATCTGGAGCATACCTTTGCCCTTAGTTAAGCAAAGAACATGATACTTGGTGTATACATTAGTCATATTAATGGGATGTGCAATGTATCAAATTCAGGGCCTTCTGTCCCTCAATTTTACATTTATTGCCCTTTGTTAAAATCTTGTATCTAGAGCATAACTTTGCTTGCGTTTAAACTAAGATAATGAAAACTTGGTGTATACGTTGATCATACTAAGGCAATGTGCAGTGTACCAAATTCAGAGCCCTAGTCTCCTCAATTACAGAGCTGATGCTTGCGTTTCAGGTAGGATAGTGAAACTGGTGTATACATTGTCCTACTAAGACGATGTGCAACATATTAAGTTTAGGGCCCTCGATCCCCTCAATTACAAAGTTACTGTCCTTTGTTAATAATATCTTGTCCAGAGCATTTCTTTACCTGCATTTAGACAAGGATATTGAAACATAATGTATACATCAGTGCTACAAAAGAAAAGTGAAGTAGAGTAAAGTCTGGGCCCTTGACCCCTCTGTGCATAATTTTGCCCTTTGTTTAAATTTTGTGTCATGAGAATAGCTTTGTTCGCATTAAAACTAGAATAACAACTTGGTGTATATATTGGTCATATTGAGAGGTTGTGCAGTATACCAAATTCAGGGCCTGTAACCCCTTAATTACAGAATTATGGTCCTTTGTTAAAATTTTGTGTACAATAACGTCGTTTTCTGGGAGCATTCATCAGTATCACTGATACTTATATAAATAAGATCTCATATGAGTTTCACAATGGAATCAATTCAGTTGTAATGTACAGAGTTATGGCCCTCTAATTTGATTTTAATATTGAACCTTGTGAACATGATTATTTCAGTTAATCTGATTTTGATGGGATTTGGTATGCAGCCTTATATCCATTATATCCTGGATGAGTTTGACAAAACCTGTTGGATTGTAATTTATAGTTATGTCCCTTTGTTGTTTTATTTTGGACTTTGTGAACAGAATAACTTGAGTACATACATGAGTACAGATTTTGATAAAACTTATCAAACGTTTCATTTGAGTTCGACAATGTGACCTATTTGATTAAAATACAGATATGTTGCCCTTTGCAATGTCATAACAATTGGACCTTGTGAACATGATAATTTGTATAAATATGAACAGATTTTAATGAAAGCCTTATATCAATAATATCTCAGATGAGTTTCTCAATAGGATTGATTTGATCAAACTTTACAGAGTTATGGCCCTTTTGCAATGTCATTACTTATATGAACTTTGTTATCATGAGAATTTGAGTAAATGTGAACAGATTGTGATGAAAATTGGTATGCAGTCTTATAAGGTGATAGAGGTGTTCAACAATGGAACTGATTTGATGTCACTTACAGAGTTATGGCTCAGTCCTGTTTAAGTTTGGATGAGATTAGTCAGGTGACCGTTAAGGCCATGGGCCTGCTGTTGTCTGAAACTGTCTTTTGAGTGGTAAATTATCTCCGTTTTTTGTCAGTGCAAAGATGGAAGTCATTGTCAGAGGCATAGTGGATTAATGAAAAATGTGTATAATAGTCAGTATTTAAATAAGCTGTCTTTTAGGTTTTCTTTACTGGAGTTTTGGCATATATAGTATACACTTTTTCAGTGATTATGATATATAAGTACACTAGTTGTAGTGTAGGTAGAAGGTGCTTAGATAGATTTAGACAATGGAGGTGTTTCATAAAACTTAGCTATTTAAGTAATATAAATTTCTGACATAAAAATCTTTCATGGTGAGTCAGAATCATACAACTACATTACACTTTGTGATAAGTGTACTTTATGAATTAAAATCTATTGAGTTATGTGAGAGGTATTGATGAGAATGGAATATATCTCTCTTGATTTGTATCTCGTCTGTAAAGCAAACTTGTGTTTAGCCCTGCTGAAGGTTTTGATCCATTGACACCTCACAAAATATATTGTAGAGTGATATTTGACCAGGTATGTTGCTCTCCCTTGTACTTTGGCTTTTTAGCCCACCATCATCAGATGGTGGGGTATTCAAATCACCCTGCGTCCGTGGTCCATGGTCCGTCTGTCTAGGCATCCGTCCGTAAACAATTCTTGTTACCGCTATTTCTGGAAAAGCACTAGATGGATCTTTCTCAAATTTCATATGCAGGTTCCCCTTGGTCCCTAGTTGTGCATTGTACCTTTTTTGGATTGATTCGAATTCAAGATGGCCGACAGATGGCCATCTTGGATTTTGGATGTAAAAGTTTGTTACCGCTATTTCTTGGAAAGTACTGGATGGAATTTTCTCAAATTTTATATGCAGGTTCCCCTTGGTCCCTAGTTGTGCATTGTACCTTTTATGGACTGATTCAAATTCAAGATGGCCGACAGGTGGCCATCTTGGATTTTGGAAGTAAAAGTTTGTTACCGCTATTTCTGAGAAAGTACTGGATGGATCTTTCTCAAATTTCATATGCAGGTTCCCCTTGGTCCCTAGTTGTGCATTGTACCTTTTATGGACTGATTCAAATTCAAGATGGCCGACAGGTGGCCATCTTGGATTTTGGAAGTAAAAGTTTGTTACCGCTATTTCTGAGAAAGTACTGGATGGATCTTTCTCAAATTTCATATGCAGTTTCCCCTTGGTCCCTAGTTATGCACTGTACCTTTTTTAGACTGATTCAAATTCAAGATGGCCGACAGGTGGCCATCTTGGATTTTGGAAGTAAAAGTTTGTTACTGCTATATCTGAGGAAGTACTGGATGGATCCTTCTAATATTTCATAGATATTGGTTTCCCTTGGTCCCTAGTTGTGCATTGTACCTTTTTTGGACTGATTTGAAATCAAGGTGGCCTACAGGCCGCCATCTTGGATGTTGACAGTAATACAGCACAAACATATTGTCCATTATCCACCTGTAACTGACTGCTATCTAATACTACTTTGGGATCTTTTTCAAATGATATTTGCTAATAAGTGCTTAATAAAAATATCTTGTGCCATCATTGAGTACATTCAATGAAGACCAGTTCATAAACATTTACAACACCTGTAACAAACAAAGAAAAATAAACAAATCTTCAAGAACTGAAAATAGATCCTCAAATGGTGGGCGCCAAGATCCCTCTGGTATCTCTTGTTATATCTTTTTAGTTGTTTTTTACTGCTGTAAAGTAATATGTGCTTGCACTGACTTCAGATGTTGTTGCAGATCTCCCAGAGACAGAGGCTGTTGAATTACAAAATAAGCTTGAGGTTCTCAACACCATGGACCAAGAGGTAAAACAAAAATGGGAGACTGTCTTTTGACAATTTTTGCCATTTTTTTGTGTACATATTTAGATTTTACAGTCATAGAAAATGACTTTGTTTTTTTTTTACCTTATTTAGATTTTCCATTGGTAGTTCCTTTGTTGACTGGTTTAAATTCATATCTTATCAAGCTCTTTGGTGATAGAATATATTTATTTCCTTCTCATCCTCTTTTTTTGGCAGATTCTGACCATACAAGAGCAACATCGGCGGCATACTTCATCAACACAGTGTAAGTATAAGGCTAGCATGAATCTGATTGGTTGACAAAGATCGGTTTGTTTACTTACAGCAGTTTGATAGTTCTTTATTTACAGTAGGTGTATGTGATATTATATGTTTGTATATTTACAGTAGGTGTATGTGATATTATATGTTTGTATATTTACAGTAGGTGTATGTGATATTATATGTTTGTATATTTACAGTAGGTGTATGTGATATTATACGTTTGTATATTTACAGTAGGTGTATGTGATATTATATGTTTGTATATTTACAGCAGGTATGTATGGTATTTTCTGTTTGTATAGTTTCTTTATTTAAAATGGGTGATATTTTATAATCACTTATATGCAATGGGTAGATGTAATACTTTCTGTTTTTTATTTACAGAAGATGTATGTGATATCTTTCTGTTTGTTTATTTACAGCGGGTATGTCAGAAGATAGTGATTATACTAGTGACATCAGTTTTCCTCAGCAACATCAACACAACAGTTCTGTGCATCAATGGCGAGGAACCACGGATCCACTTATTCGCATGCGGGAGGATAGCCGCGAGGAGTACATGCGAGATATGGGGCCGTTTGATTCATTTGATGGTGAATCATTTGATCGTGGTGGATCATTTGACCGTATTGAAAGTTTTGATCAAGACAGAATTTCTGACACCGAAAGAACGTTTGGTCATGTTGATTCTTTTGATCGACATCTATCTGGTGGTGAATCAATAGAACGGGACGATTATGATAATGATAAATATGTTTATGATCAGGATGATCCTGATTATTACCAAGACAGTCCGTACCAGAACAGTCAGGATGGATATAACAATGACAGTCCTTACCATACTAATGACGGATTCCGCGATGGTTCTTACGGCACGGGACAAGACAGTCCTTACCATCAAAGTCAGGAGAGTCCATTCCGTAAAAGTCGTGACAACTATCAGGACAGTCCGTATCGACATAGTCGTGAAAATTCCCAAAGTCAGGAAAGTTATTCTGAAAGTGTTTATCGTGGACAATGTATGGATAATTACCAGGACTATCGACAAGGCCATGGACAGGATGGACCTCGAGATAGTCCATACCACCAAGTACGCAGTGATACAGACTCTGACCTTCTTTCCTACAACAGCAGACCACAACAGCCTTACAAGTTTCTCACCGAAGGGTATGGTTTATTTTCTCTAGATTCAACCTTTTAGATGACTTGTTTTATTCCTCCAGGTTCTTGCTCTCAGTCTAGTGAGAGTTGGAAAGGTTTTTGAAAAAATATTAATTTCCATAATTTTTTGTGTTGTCTTTACTAATTTTACAGCCGTTATTCAAACAGAAATTCCTGTAATAATATGAAAATGTATTTTTGCATTTTTCAGCAGCCATTTTCCCGAACTTTGTTATGTTTTAATATTGCTGATTATAATTTTAGAAGGCTATGTGGAGTGGTTATTCTCTGATCGACATGATGTTGTTATTTGAATTTCTAGGCCCATGTATGTAGTAGGGGACCCAGCATTGACATGATTTTCTGATGTTGCTATTTTCAGAGGCTAAGTTTGAATTCTCTTACTAACATAAAATTTTGATATCGCTTCTTTTAGAAGCCCTATACCAAACAAGGATTCCCAACTAACCTGACATTTCATCATTGTTATTTTTAGAAGTCCTATGCGCAACAGGGATTCTCTTACTAACATGACCTTTCATCATTGTTATTTTTAGAAGTCCTATGTGCAACAGGGATTCTCTTACTAACATGAATTTTGATAATGTTATTTTTAGAAGCCCTATACGGAGCAGGGATTCCCTTACTAACATGACTAATATGACAACTACAAGTCGCCACAGTACACAAGATTTCAGGTAAATCTATACATCATAGAAAGTTTCTTTTATCCTTAACACACCCACCCTGTTGGGTATTGGATTGGAAATGCCTTCAATTGTCTTAACTTCATTATATTTTATATATATTCCTTTGCAGTACTCTTGTTTTCCAGACTACTGAAATCTTCCAAGATGTGAAATGTCGATTATCTCCATTTGATTCTTTACAAGTTGTCATGATTTGTTGCAGTTTAATAATGTTTATGAAGAATAATATAAAGAAATACAATATAAATATGATACAATATAAAGATGAAGAAATTGTATTTTATCATTGTCTTTGTAATGTAAACATAACATTTGTTGCTAAATGTCATTATTTTCTGATGAAAATTATGTTTTCAGTCCGGCCAACAGTCGGTCATCAACCACAAATGTCAGTCGTCAGAGTACACAGGAATGCAGCGATGAAAGTGCAGCATTTGACAGAAGTAGTAATCTCAACATCAACTCCCCAGCCAAAGCCAAGTGGATAGATGTATATAACAAAGTTTGTGTGAAGCTAGGCCAGGTTAGTTTTTTTACCTGTTTATTACTTTGTTGTTGTTATGGATGTATTATGTCATTGTTTTAGTTGACATTTTTATGCTTCCCGAGGGGAGAGGATATAGACCGCTTTGTCCATCCGTCTGCCCATCAGTCCGTCCATTTTTTTGTTTATGTACGGTATCTCAAATTTTGTTGGGCCAATGGCACTCCTTCTTTATGCCAAGCTGGCCTGAAGGAGGTGCTTGCTTGGGGTATGTAACTTTTCATCTCTCAAGGTTAAAGGTCAAGGTCACCATTACACTAAATAGAAATTCAATATCTATGTGAACACTAGAGTTTGCTTTGGCCAGTCTAACCCAAACTTCTTACAGTAATTCCTTACTGAAAGTGTTTGCTTGGGATTGCTTTACAGTTTTGAATGTCAAAGGTCAAAGTCACTGTTACTATAAATAGAAGAATCAGTTTCCATGCCATAACTCATGTTTGCAATCAATCTCAAACCTCATACAATGTTTTCTTACAAAAATGGCTTGCTTTGGACTGCCTTTAAGGTCCTAGGGTCTGGTCTAGATTACTGTTATTCTAAGTAGGAAATTGGTTTCCATGATATATCTTGGGTTTCCAAGGGCCAATCGACCTCAAACTTCATACAACGTTTTCTTACTGAAAGTGCTTGCTATGGATTACTTTTTAGATCCAGAAGTCAAAGGTTGAGGTTATTGTTGTTATATTGTAAAAAAAAAACATTTTGTGGAATAACTTGAGTTTGCTATAGCCAATCTAACTGAAACTTTGGTAAATGCAATGCTTCTTATCCAAAAGTGCTTGTTTGAGATAGATTTCCATTCAGGTTCAAAGGTCAAAAGTCACTGTAACTGCAAGTTAAAATCAGTTTCTTTGTGATAACTTGAGTTTGTTCTGCTCAATCTAAATCAAACTTTGTACAATTTTTCCTTACCAAAAGTGCTTGCTTGGGATATGGCTTCTTATAGATATAAAAATCAGATTGTTGAGTATCTTTGTTAGGATGAGTGTTTCTTTTCATAACAGTCTTTCTTGACTTTTGTGGAAGAGTGTACTTATGGTCCTGCCAGTAATCTGTCAGTCTGGAGTGTGTGTGCCAAAGGGTGGGTTTGTGGGAGGGCGTGGAGGGGGTCAAATTTCAAACCACACAACGGGGCCCTTGCTGACCTGTCAGTGTTCCAGTTGCCCTATGCTATTTTTCATACTTAAAGTTTGTCCAATTTGGTGAGCATAACCTGTCTCTAACAGCTCTTGTTTATTAGTGTGTCTATTGTTTACTTACTTTTTAGGTCATCAGACCCGAAGAGTCATGATAGCCTATACCCATCATGCTATTGAGCTAAATATTGGTGAGAATGTTAAGGAAAGTAAGCCAACAAAGTGTTGTTATTTTTCAACCATGTCAAAACTTCGAAACGGCAGCTAGGGAAGACTTTCTTTGTAACATGATTACGTAATCATGGTTTTCCTGTGCAACACCTATTTCAAACTTCTTCTCAAGTTTCACCAGTTGGATTGAGCTCCAACTTTACAGTCAAATAATAGTTTACACTTGTTACAATTACCTATTCCAAACAACTTCTTAATAAGATTTCATTCCATGTAGAAAAAATGATCCTTCTCTCTGTTGAAAGTTTTTGTAGTCAGATGACCGTTAAGGCCAATGGGCCTCTTGTTTAGCTATATATTGTACAAATTGTTATCTCTTAAAGTGAAATTTCTCATTATGTTAGTGCGTTGTCTTATGTAAGATACATTCCAGAACAATGTCATCACAAGATAAAATTTGTCATCATTATTTGTGGGCCATGTCATTACTAGATGAAATTTGTTTCTCATTATTTACATGCCTTGTCAACATTGAAGGAAATTTGCTGTCATAAATATCTATGTGCCTTGCCATCTTGAAACTTGATTTTGTCATTATCATTTGTGTGAATTGTCATCATAACATGAGAAGTATAACTATTTATGGAGCATATATTATCCTTTTCTGTGACACATATCATCTTCCTATGTGTAGCTACTACATAGCTGAAATCTGATTGAAATGTATCTGAAAACTAATGGGAAGAAGAGATAATCCAATAATTTTTCTCTAAATTTTGAAATGGATTATAGGGAAAGAAAAACACTTTTACTTGTCAGAGGAGAAAATGCCATTATTTTCCCTAGACAATTTTGAAATTGTTTATAAGGTATGAGAATATGGAATATTGTATATTTCACTTTAATTAGTAAGGGGAGATAATCCTATATTTTCCCATTTTGATGTTACCGCTTTCCATTGATTATGGAGTATGGTTTATTTATCGATGCATTTTGTCCCAGAGTATTTGCAATTATATGTTTATCAATTATGTATGTGTCAAAGGTAGGGTGTGTAATTGTCCCTTCCATTGTAGTGATTGTATTTAGAAGTTATAGTATAATTAGCTCTGTCTATATATATATTATTCTGTCAGCAGTGTGTACTGAAGTCTTGAAACTGTCTACTGTAGGCAAGATATCAATAGGTGTTTACTCATTACAGAGAATTCATAATTAAGGTTTATCAAGTCTGGACTGTCAGTCATAAGCATTTTGCAAAATCAATACTTTGCATCATAAAATAGTAAATTATGAATTTTGAAAAACAAGCAAAACAAAACGGAAACAAAAAGACAAAAAAGTAAAAAAAAAAGAGCAAAATTCATGTACACAAAAGTTGCTTTGGCCTACCAAACTCTGTGTATGCTTCTCATTAGTTCACACACCAAAGATCCACATCTCTATAGCTACTGAGAGAAAATTGCTTTTCACACATTGCCTTTTCATCATAAAATTAGTTAAAACAGCTTTCTGCTTTGAATGATATTTTTTTCCACAGAAAATTTTTCCAATATTTCTTCAACAGGGTTCAATGTAGGTATTTTCGTAGTCAGGAGATGGTGGTCATCGTTCAATGTGAAAATTGTCACAAAATTAAGTTTGAAAGTTTCCTGAGGGTGGATGTCATTGAGGTTTCTAAATTTCCATGAGATTTTCATCTTGTTGATTAAGAAGGAGGTAATTGAAATGTTTTTCAATTATTTTTTGGCTGGTTTTGATTCGATGACTGGATTGTTCTGTGATTTGTTAGTGGGATGACTCTGTTCTAGAATTGTGAAGTTTACAAAATGATATTTATTATCCAGTCTACAAAATTGGTAGGGGATACTGAAATCTCCATCCATCTGGTTAGGAAAAGATATACTGTCCATTTCTAGAAAGTTCACGTGCTACAGGGCTTACCTGCCTGAATGATGGAAGCAAATTGTTGTTGTCCAGGATTTCAATTATAATGCTTCATGCATTTGTAAATCACTAAAATATGCTACATTGTGTTGTGGTATAGTTGCCTGAATGGAGAACAAGGGATATTGATGACAGACATTGTAGTCTTGTTACTATTGTTACTTTCCAGGACCTAAATCAATATATTGCTCTGAGAAATTTTCAAAAAGGTATTGAAATCTGCAATGTTACAATGATATTTCCTTGCCGGGTTATTGTTATTTAGCGTAGAACTGATAACCAGTTTTGTTCTTTTTTATTTCTGTACGAGTTTTGATATTAGTAACTAAGGGAGATAATACCTTGAGGACTTTGACGGTATTGTAATGAGACTGGTATATGGAGTACATATGTTACCTGTCAGTAAACAGGTTGGATTAGATAAGAAATGGTAGGATTTCTTCTTGTACATACCAACAAAAGTGCAAGGTAGTTGAATAGAATTGTATGACATTGATTGATGACACAGTACATTCAGTTGACAGCCATTGATTTCCCATGGCTACAGGTACAAAAAATATCCTTAAGTACTGAAGGCTATTTCTGATGGCGTGGATTTTTTTATAAAGAAAGTTTCATTAGATATAGAAAGGCTACAGTATAACTTATAAGAATTTTACTTTTAACAGGTGATCAAAGGTGTCATTTTCATAGTATTTAATTTTGTCTCTATGGAATTTTCATAAAATGATTTCATTTATATTTTAACATAGAATGATGAAGTCATGGATAAATTTGAAACAGGCTTTATTACAAGGATTACTGAAACATGATAAGAATATCAGTTGGATCAATTTAAAGTCATCAAATCATGGAACAGCTGGAATGTAGGAGTCATGTTGATGATGTCATTAAAATGTCCTGTGTCAGGCTCGCTTTATAGTGATTGTTTGTCAACATCTGGTTACCAATAAGATTTAATCTTCCAAAATATGTACAAATTTTTAATCAAAATACCATTCGTCCAATGTTATAATTATTCAAAACCTACAGGTATAAGTTTACACTATCATGTTTTCATATACCGAAACTATCATGTTTTCTAGTTTTTATTCTACAGACTTTTCAGTGGCTGATCTGCTAAACCTGTTTTAAAAAAACCAGACATGTATTATGTAACCTAGCACTGCTACTATTGGCTGAAGTTTCCCATTGTTTCTTTCCACATGTATTGTGTCACCCCCAAAGAAAAAGGTATAAAATGAGGATATTGTCAGTCTAGATTTTCTGTCAGTCTTATAAAATCTTTGCTTTCCTGAATGCTGGCAAGGGTATGTAAGTGACGGAATAGGAATCTTACATTCATGTCTTTTTCATTTCCATTTGGTATGAAATTTGTGAAAATTGTCACAATCTTTCATTTACAATGACAGAGGCTCAGTCGAACTTGAATATGAACAATTCAAAGTCTTGTTTGGTGAAAAGGATATGAATGGAAACTTGGATGGTTGCTGTAACTGACATGTTTGACCACTGGTAAAATAGACTCTTATTTCTACCCTTATCATTCAATCTTCATCTTTATATTTTTACAAAATATATCATTGGTTAAGACTGTCTGGGAAAAAAATTGACAGTCAATTTTGTTCTTGTATTCATTGCAACATTTACTTCACATGAATGTCACTGTAATGCTTGATATGGAATTGTAAATTTAGAAATACTGTTGGTGATGTCAGCATACTAA